TTTTGAAAATGTTTCAGAAATAGAATGAAAACGGATAAAAAATTTGAAAACTTGTTTCTGAAAACATTGGTTGAGATACACTTAAACATCTCGAAACATTCCAAAACATTGGTCGAACATACTGAAAACATCTCGAAACGCCTCAATTCTGAAACCCCTCAAAAACTTATGAAACCCTTCAAAACATTGGAATTTCGATATTCAATCTCTATTTTCGTTTCGGTTTCTATGGAAATGGATATATTTTGGCCGTTTCAAAAAGAAATTTTGATCCTTGCCTATGCATGGTATGTCAAGTGAGAAACAAAACTTGGCCATAGAAACAAGTTGAGAATCCAACCTTCTGACAATGAAACTGGTTACAGTAGCTGGCGGTCTTCTGTTTAATCTTATATTGATTCTTTGCAGCATTTATGGTTCATACTCTCCCCCCTCCTCTCCTCTGTACCACTCTAAGTTCCAGCAAATGTGCTTCACTAGACTAACATTCAATTTAAGTGTGGTTAATCTGAGTCCATTTTCCTATCAATTCATAAGGCAATTAATCTTTTGTGAGTACCGTATCTATTGTCGTTTTAAGGTGCTTTCTTTATGCCCGCAAGTACTTCAACTCCCACTACCCACCAGTATGTCAATGATGGTAGTACAAGCATAAATTTACCCAGCAGGCTTTTCCAGAGCTTCTAAATTCTTCATGCTGTCTCTTGTTCGCACGAATGATTTCATTTCTAATTCTATCACTGCTCGTCTTGCCATCTTAAAATCTAATTTCATTTATTTTCTATCATTTTGACATTCTCTCACTAATTCTCAAATCCTGAATTTATTTATGCGGTCCTACCAAGGGATGCCTTAGCCTTAACATCTTGACTGAATCAGATATCAAGCATATCTGATGTGAACTCTTCTGGTAGTGTGTGCAGAGTGATTTTGACATCTCTGTTTTCATTGTTATTATTTACCATAAATTGCAGTTCCAAACTACAATTAAGTAGGCAAATACCTTCAAGTTGTTAGAAACTGCCAGCAATTCTGGCTCTATAAACATACTGATAAAGTTGTCTGAATATTTATGAACTGGCCATTGACAAGTTTATATGTTGTTTCATGTGCGTTTTGGTGGAATGAAATTTGTTGGTTGTAAATTCTTATGTGGATATTATTTAAATATGAACAAATTTTTTTTCTATTTGTTCGTGACTAGAAGTGTGGATGCAGGGTGGCAATGCATTGGCATCACTGCTCATAAATCCTCACTGTTGTTTAAAAGTTTTGGTCCTGCGCAAATGTCAACTTGGCCTTCTTGGTGTTCTTCGGATACTTCAGGCATTAGCAGATAATTGCTTTCTTGAAGAGCTCAACTTGGCAGAAAATGGCTGTCTGGATAATGAGAGTACTTCACTCTACAGCCTAATAACAACTAAAGAGAGCCCGAACTCCCTGCAGACAAATCTCAATTTTTTTGGCTCTTCATTGAAGGCATCAGCACCAGTGGAGGATCAAGCTGCTGAACTGGTATTGTGTACAGCTAAAACTGACTGCAATCACCTAGAAGTTGCTGATAGTGAAGAAAAGCCAATCAGGGTGGACCCTGCCGTATCTGGTTTTGATGGCAGTTGCATGAGCTCGTCTCAAAAGAATCCTTCTAATTTGGAGTGCCAATACATTCAAGAGCTTTCAACTTCTATTACTATGGCGAAACAGTTGCAGTTACTGGATCTTAGTAATAATGGATTCTCAGAAAAAGTTGTAGAAATGTTATATACTGCATGGTCATCAAGTTCAAGAGCTGCTTTAGCCCAGAGGCACGTTGGGAAACATACAATCCATTTTTCCGTGCAGGGGAACAAGTGTTGCAGCATGAAACCCTGCTGCAGAAGGATATAAGTCTCTTCTAATAACTTCAAATTTATTCTAAGATTATAGTAAAAAGCTTCACATCAGACAGGCAGAGACAACCTTGTGTGCGTGTCCTCCTTATTCTTCAACCGGGCTACTTCAAATCTGCAACAAATTTTACGATGGCATCTTCTTAAATGTCACATGGTAACACGAATGGAGCATGCACACAATGTTAATGTAAATATATTTGAAGCTTACATGCATTCCTTTTGGTTTGCTGGATCATGACATCCATTCCCATATCGATTCTAGTCCCTCCCTCTTGAGGACCAGTAGCCACTACCTATATTACCTTGGTATCGCTTTTACTTGTGCTATATATGGCAGACAATTTTGTAAATTGACTGCTTGTAGTTTGGAATGAATTATGTACAATCATCTCGCATTGTGCTTCTAGGCTTGCTATTTGTGAATTTGACGTCCTTATAATTTGTTGTGTAGATAGTAATTCTTTCAAAGTAATACTACTTTCTGGCACAGGATTGTGTTTTGGATTCTATTCTTAGATTGGGTTTCAGGCTAGACATAGTTTAACATGTGTCTGGTTGTTGACTAAATTTTTGATTCTCATTCTAACCTTGGAAGGGCAAATGACCTAGATTTTCTCATGCCATTTGACCAATTTAACTGTGGTCTTATTCTATGCAGCTGTGATTAAAATCCCATTACGTTTTTGGATATGCCCAATTTCAGCACTCTTATCGTATTTCAGTTTTAAAATAATCGATAGCAAATATTAATGGTCAGAGGGGAGCCATAGTTTGTCTCTATGCTTAGTTTATATTTATATATTTTTAAAGTATCTTCCGCTTCGATTTCTTTTAATATAAATTTTTTATTTTAGTTATTGTTGATAGATCACTCACTTATTATTAGTGAAAAATTTTAATCTCACAAAAATTTAGAATTGGCACTAGGGGTATAAAAATATGACATGACTCGTTAACATGATATAAAAACGACAAATAAAAAATTTGTGAGATTAAAAATTGTGGAGCCTACCGATCCCCTGGTCTACATTTATTTGGCATAAAATTTTTTTAGTAGATATGACATTGTTGTATGTTCAATGAGTTAATCAATCAACACGCGAAGCAATGCGACTGAGTTGAGTGGGTAGTGTTGTACCCTCTGCTCCCCATCCCTCATTTTTTTTAATTATGATTTTTTTTTGGGGGAGAAGGGCATTAGTTTGGTAAATAATAATATTATCACGCTTTCGTCGACACATAATTATGTATTATCGAATTGATAATATCTTATTCACACATATCATATATATACTATAAATTTTTAGCTGCTGTTGTTATTGTAAATATCAATGAGAATTTTGATTGGGAAAAAAAATCTATTTATATACCCCTAATGAGAAAATGATACTTGCGGTATGTAGCATTTCTACTACACAGATTAATTGAAAGACGGAAGAAAAACTTACCTAAGAAGGCGTGTAGAGAAGCAAGAGGCAAAGCTTTGAGTGGTTAAAGCCAGCTAAGATGAGCACCGAGAGGAGTCATGTAGATTTAGCGGGAAAACAAAATGCCCTTCTGCGCAAAAAATTTGGTCATGCGGGAAAAAATATTATTTTGAGAAATCACGGTTTTCGCTAAACTAACTCATAACTAATTGCTTTGCTTTTTTTTTTTGGGTACTTTCAAGACCTTCATTGTCACAAAGCATTAGTACCCCTCCCAGGCAAACCCAAGTTGATGTTTTCTCAACCTAAATCCAGTTAACCCAAATTAACGTGTCACATTATGCTTCGATGTACCCAATGCATAAGGTTTCTATCGATTGTGCATTGGAAGGGAAGTTCTATATTGTGCTATATTTTTTGCAATTGACCTTAGTTTATAAATTCACAAATTTTTTGATTCCATATTCTTAATTTTAAATTAAAAGTGCTTGCAATTGACTTTTATTTTTCTCCTAGAGCTCGTCTCTATTTTTCTTTGACTAATGATTGTTTTATTTGTTATATTTTAATTGATTTTTAGGAGTATGATTATGCTTGGTTCTTAAATTTTATTTTCGCAAATTTGTTGTTCTAATATCCCAATGACAATGTTTGGGAGATAGCGAATCAAATAAATTAAAAGAGTTGAAGATTGTACAAATTGATTGCATAAACTAATGAACGAATGATCAATAGATGAGTGACAGCTTCTTAATTACAAAATGAAAATTAGCCTCACTTTTTATAAAAGGTGATAATTAATGTATTTTCTGTTTATATAAGATTGGGATAAGAAAAAACTAAAATTTGTAATTAAAGTGCCCCCTCAAAATCAAATTCATGGCTCCCCCACAGACTATATCCATACATTTTGGTAAAGAAGATGATGTTGTCAATGATCTGAACTTGTTTGAAAATAAAATATTAAATCACAGGAAAATTCAGTATATCAACACCTGACATCCTAGATAAATTGAGGAGGTGCCACACATGGCAAAACCTGAAGGAAGGCGGGAGATAATCAGCTACGATCATATTTGAAATGGGAGAAATAACTAATTGGAGGTTACAATCTTAGTGAAGAAGAAATGATACACTCGTTGACAGAAGCAAAACCGTCAAAGGTAATGGCAATAAAAGGGCACTTAGTGGAGAAGAAATGATACACTCCAACCACCAAATGACCCACGATTTGGGCATCCTTAGGAATAGTTTTAGGGTAGTTTTAGGAGGCAATTAGTCTGTAATCAAGACTGTTTATCCAGTCTTTTATAATTGAAGTCTCTTTGATTGAATTAATAAAGGAATCATCTTTTATCAATTCTCTATTTGTGTTGTTTAATTCTTGCACAGGTGTGAGTTTTTATCGTCTTTTCATCCAAGGAAATCTTGAAACAAGACATTTGAACCAATTCCAAACAATTGCCTGAAAGCTGTTTGTTTATTAAGATATATTCGTCGATCCCAACTGATTTTGGAGTAACAATCTTTTGACACGTCCGGTGGGACAACATTAGTAACTTGGATAAAGAAAATTGGTCGAACAAGGAAACAAGACGAAATTGTATTTGACACTAATGAAACTGTGTAAATGATGCCAATCAGTGGTAATCATAAAGCAAGTTCAAGTACCAATTCAGTGGCCAAGATAGTTTGCAGATGCAATAATTTGTACAAAACTTGAAGCAGGTACTGTATAATCCTAATCCTAATTATGACATTAGACAAGATGTAATTAATGCTATGCATGAGTTAATGAATTTTTAGACACCAATGGCAGGACTAGTTAATCAAAAAACAATTACTATCACTAAAAATCAAATGGTGGAAGAAGGAAACACCATTCCTGTTGTGCTTTCTGTGGAAAACCAAATGCCACCACCAATGTTAACCAACGAAGGACCAGATCCACCACACCAAAATCACTTTAATTTGGTTTTTGATGGGTTTCTTCCTAGGAAGGAATCCTAGGGGTAGAAATGGTCAAAGGATGGCTCCTAAATTCCATAGAAGGGATTGTGAGAGACATGTTATGCCTCCATTGAAACCAATAGAGGAATTTAATCCAAGGCTAGGGGCAACACTTTGACCAATTTGAAAATTTAGAAGGCCACAATAACATGGCTTTTAACATCAATCAATTGGTCACAATGATTCAAGATCTGTATAGTCCTGGCCTAAAAAAGATTGAAAGGCTTGTGTCAACCACAAAACACATAGGTAGATTTACCTTCTAGTGTGGAAAAGTTGGAAATAATGACAATTTAAAAATGAAATTGTTTCCATAGTCTTTGCCTAAAATAGCCTTTGCTTGGTTCATAAATTTGCTTGCCAATTTGATTCAAACTTGAGAAGAAATGGAAGGGAAGTTTCATGCTCCATTCTTTAGGAATGATGTAAACTCCCACATTCGTATTATCAAATATTGTAACATAATTATGTTTTTAAAATGCTAATATACGTAATGGAGTATGATTGAACTAAGTAGATTATAAGAGTAGAGATAAAAAATGTTAACAGTGAAGAATGGGGTAAATCTTTAGTTCAAACTTAGTTTTGACTTGTAAATATATAAAACCATTTGCAATAGAACTTATACCACCTATGTTTGATGTATAAATGTATGTTGTATAAGTTTGGGTTGGTTTTGGAATGAGTTTGAAATGAAAAATAGAGGAAATAAACAAATTTAGACAGAACCAACCGGTATGACCTACCAGTAGTACGCTGTCTAGTGAATCCGAACTACTGGTAGTCAATAGGTAGTAAATGTCTAGTAGATTCGAACTACCGGTAGTCAATAGGTAGTAAGTGGCTAGTGAACCCGAACTACCGGTAGCTCAACAGGTAGTAAGTTGCCAGCGGATCTGAACTACTGGTAGCTTGATACGAACTATCGGTAGATCGTTAAAAAAAATCGGGATGTTCGGTTTTAAAACCCCATTTTCACTCCATTTACTCCCATTCTTTCACACCACTCTCACCCCACACCTCTTAGAGCCCTAATGGAAAGACTTAGAGAGGAAGAGAGAAAGGGAAAACAAGAGTTTTAAGGGTGATTCAAGATCAAATCTTCTTGTCCTTCACACCATAGCCAAGGAGAAAGGTAAGAGGTTTTCTTCCATTCTTGTCCATTGATGCTAGGGCTAATAAATATGTATTCTTTGACTTTAAATCTTATATATATGCTAGAAAATCATCTTTCCTTGGTCGTTTTTGTAATTATTAGTGTGTTTTAAACAAAGTTAGGGTTGAATACCCATTAAATCTCATTTTCTTGATATAAAACCCTAGTTTTCAAAAGAGATAAACCTTCTTCTTGATTCTTCCTTTGTTCTTGACTTTGAAACTTTAGTGCTTTGTGTTGAGTACAAAAATGATATTTATGATGATCTCTTGCATTTTCTTTACGTGTTCTATTGAAATACTACATGTGAAATTGGGGATTGATGGAATTGTTTGTGATTTGAGGAAATTGTTAATATTGTATCTCTTGTGTGGTTGTTGGATAAACATAGGCTACTATTGACCGGGTATCTTGGAGTGTGTAGACGCTTTTTTACTTCTTGTGGGTATGAACTTTTTCTACCACTCGTAGTGGGGTTAGTGCCTTGCGAGGACTAAACCATTATCGCTCACGGGATATCGTGAGAAAAGGGGTTAGTATACTACTCTTTGGTTGGATATGTCACTGCCATGGTGTTGGCATACACCCTTCCTAAAGGTTGGATATCCTTAAGAGGATTTGTGTGGGTTGTATGTGGGCATACTCATGCGAGATTTTAGTTCAGACCAAATATACGAATACAGTGGTGTATTATTGTTCATTGTACTAGAAATAATTTATACAAGAATTTTGGGAAGTATGAGATTCTGTAAGAACTTGGGAGAAAAGATTTATGGTGGAATGAATTATTAGTCATATATTGGTTTCACTTATGCATTACATTACTGCTGTTGCTT